AACCAACAGAACCAGTTTTTAAACAAAACAAACAGCAGCTTAGTTAATATAAAAAATGATTAACATTTTAATTTATTAATCAAGCTATATCAACTAGAACTAACTGAAATTGTCAAAACTTTTCTCCAACCTTACAGGATCTGTGTGTATATATATATATATATATATATATATATATATATATATATATATATATATATATATATATATATATATATATATATATATATATATATATATATATTAAGGTGGGCTGAAATTTATTTTTTTTCAATTTTAGGTTCGCTTTACCACAGAAAATTTCTCAATTCACTTTACCACGAAAAATTTGAAAATTTGTTTTCTTCCTATTTTTATATTCAAAATTTAAACTCAAGAAACAAAAAAAGTACTAGAATTGAAACTGAATGCTCTAACTAGTGCTCACTGTTGATTATTAGAAAGAGCAACAAGAGCTTGTGTTTTGCATAATTTTAGTGTTATGACCAAATATAATTACAAAAATAAAGTTAGAAGTTAAAAAATATGAAAAATCACACTTCACACTTTCAAATGAAAAACAAGAACAAGCAAAAAAAAAACAACATAAATAACCATTCAAATATTTGAATGTGGAGCAAGAACAAGCACAACCGACTTACCTGGTTATTTACCTGGTATGGCCATACCAGTATTGCTAAATCAATCCAGTTAAGATTAATTGAGCTATGTAGTCATTAGCCCATAAAGAAGCCCATCCTTGTTGTGGGTAAACTATTAAGTTTTGATTTGAAAAAATTTAGGGAAGAGACTGTTACAGTATCACTATCAAATGAGTTCCAGTGGTTGACTACACGTTCTGAGAATAAATATTGTAGAAAACCCATGCAACATTTCGTGCAATTCTATTAAATCCAATCTGTACCTTCGTTCCTCAAGTGTCCATAGACCTAGTTTAAGTATTCTGTCTGCATACGATAGATGTTTCACTTCTATTATCATTTTACTAAACCGATGTTGTATTTTTTCTATTAGTTGTTTATATTTGACATTAAAAGGTGATGAAACAGATGTACAATATTCTATGTGTGGATGAACTAACGATTTTTACAGTTTCATCATAATATCAGATTGTTAATAGGCAATTGTGCGACTTATCATTCCTAGAATTTTGTTTGCATTGCCATACACTGGTTAGATGCTTTCAAATCATGTGAAATCACAACCCCAAGGTTGGAACACTTTTTCAACCTCAATTTCTTCTAAAATAACCCTGTTTATACTGTATTCATAACCAATGTTCTTTTTTCTAATATGCATAACTTTGCATTTCATAACATTATATTGCATTTGCCATTCAATAGACCACTTAACAAGCAGATCTTCTTGGAGTTGCAAACCATCACTTTTGGTATTAACTTTAGAAAATATTTTGGTATTGTCAGCTTACTTTAATATATGGTTTGTCACACCAGTATCCAGATCATTATTATATATCAAAAATAGTATTGGACCTAATACTGATCCTTGTGGTATGCCACTAAGTACTCTCTTAAAAGAAGAATTTTTTCCATTCAAAATTACTCGTTAAACCCTGTTAATCAACCAAGAATTTATCCATTGAAAAATTTGACTATACAATTTTTTTAGCAATCTTTGATGAGGAACCTTATCAAAGGCTTTTGCGAAATCTAAATGTATCACATCTATACAAATCTAAATAATCATCACATCAGTCTCGGTAAAGATGCAATTACTCATCCTACCAATATTAGGCCTATTAAGGATGCCTTCAGATTTTGGTGTTATGTCAATATTCTCATTAGCGAAAGTATATATAAAGTACTTATTAAATTTTTCAGTTATTCCAGTAACTGAATCAATTTTAACAACATCATTATTTAGCTTTAACTGTTGACTTTGTTTTGCTTCTAGCATAAGCAAAGAATGATTTAGAATCATGTTTGATATTTTATGCCAGCATGTACTCAAAGTCAATCTTTGCTTTCCTAATTAAGCGTTTGCATTTTTCATTTACATTAACCACTGCAGGATGAGATTGGTTTTTGTGTCTAGAACATATTTTCCTTTTTCCTTTTATTGCTTTGGCTACTTTAAGAGTCATCCATAAGGGTTTTTTATACTTAGGATTGGTGTTGATCAATTGCTTTGGAACATATGTTGATTCTAAGTCAAGTAATATTGATTTAAATGTTGACCAATAATCTAAGGTGCTTCTTTCAAATTTTGAATTTATTTTTTGCAACTCCTGTCTAATGCAATCAAATTTTCCTTTATATAGTCAAATATGATTCTAAAATTTTTTTTTGCTACTGACTTCATATAAGAGTTTCTCAAAAACAGGTAGTTTCAGAAAACAACTGTTTTCTATTCTACATTAAAAAAAAAACAGCTGTTAACAGCTGTTTTCTGTTTTTCATGGAATTATAGTAAAATTTAAGGAACACGAGTGAATTCAGAGATTTATCCGAAAGGCGTGATTGAATCTTTGTGAAAAAGTTTGTTGAAATTAAAAATACTTGTTCAATGTCTATGGACATCAGTTTATTTGTTAGGAGAGCCTCATATAATTTTTGCAGATTTTATGTTCTTTTTGCTGTGTTCCCAAATAGCTAAAGTTTCTATTTTAGCCATTTGAACTCATTGTTGACTGTTGAAATAGGAGTAACTTTTTATTTTCTCAGCAATAAATCAAACTCTTCTTGAAGAGATATTGAAGCTGGACTAGTCTGATGACCTTCAGAATCACCAGAATCAGAAGTTTCTTCATCTTCTCGAAAACCGAAAATTCTTTTTGCTGATTTTCCAGCAAATAGCAAAGTGTTTCTTGATAGAATATTTGTAGGATCTCTCAGTGGTCTTAATAAGTTCATCTCATCATTATTCCATCATTCACTTGTTTGGTTCTTGAGATTTTCATATAACTCCTTTCCAATGTTGTTATTTAAATTCAAAAGTTTTTCCAGCATAAAGCCAATAACAGTATTTAAGTACAGTATTTAAGTAGCTGTCAAAAGCCTTAAACTTTCATGACTCGGTGTCTCAACAGCAATTTTGATTGGCTCCATGATCATTTGCAACAACAACAAAGCATCAAAATCTACCTTATTGATCAGATCAAGCATTTTTAATTCAGTTAATGTCTCAAACAGACAAAGTTTTGTTTTAATCAGTGGATCTATCATTGTGGGGATAGAATTCTAACAATGTTGAACATCAAGTAGCAATTCGATTTCAACTCCAAATGCTTGAAATACTTTTGACTGAAATATTTGATTTGTAACCGTCAAATTTCTGCTATATTTGACAACATCTTGTGATTTATCAAAACAGAATGGAAATCGTCTTCTGAATAATCTACTTGCATAACCTACATGTCATTATTTTCAAAATTGTCAACCTAATCTTCATTATCAGAGTCCACAATTCAAAATAATCAGATGAATAGTTTTAAACTAAAATTGACTACTTTATTTATTTACCATTCCAATACATTGATTAACTTAAAAATATTCTAGCTACTTAATTTATAATTTATTTTGTTTTATTTGATTTATTAAAACAAAAAAAAAGCGCATATTTGCTCAAATATTCAAGTGTGATGCAACATAAAGTATTAGAATTTTTTTTTTTGAATTTTTATTAGATACCCTAGAAACAAGTTTTTTGTGGTAAAGCCAATCAAAAATTAAAAAAAAAACCTTTTTTCGGCCCATTCTAATAATAATAATAATAATAATAATAATAATTATATATATATATATATATATATATATATATATATATATATATATATATATATATATATATATATATATATATATATATATATATATATATATATATATATATATATATATATATATATATATATATATATATATACACATATACACATATATACACACATATAATATATATACATATATATAAATATATATATATGCATATATATATACAAATAGTATTGCGTACTAAGGTAAGCAATCTGACATCATACTGAAATAGTCTGCTGCTAGGGGCTTCAGTATATACATCGATTGACAATTAGCCTGACTCGCAGTGGAGTGCTACATCGACTGAGGGTTTGGAATAGGGAAGCAATCGTTTTATTCATCATTCTTCGTTTTTTCTTCTTCTTTTTCAAAAAAAAAAACGGTATAGCTTAAGGTAAGCAGAAAAAGTGAGCAAATGCTTATCAAAACACGCTTTAGTAAGTGTATATACACACAAACATATATATATTTAAATAGTATTGCGTACTTTGGTAAGCAATCTGACGTCATACTGAAATAGCCGGCTGCTGGGGGCTTCAGTACATACAACGACTGACAAATAGCCTGACTCGCAGTGGAGTGCTGCTACATCGACTGAGGGTTTGGGATGGGGAAGCAATCATTTTATTTATCATTCTTCATTTTTTTCTTCTTCTTTTTCGAAAAAAGCGGTTTACCTTAAAGTAAGCACAAAAAGTGAGCAAATGCTTATCAAAACACGCTTTAGTAAGTGTATATATATATATATATATATATATATATATATATATATATATATATATATATATATATATATATATATATATATATATATATGTATATTTATATATATACATATATATACTTATATATATATCACTACATACACACACATATATAAATATATATAAATATATATATATATATATATATATATATACATAATTATTCATATATACATACATATATATATATATATATATATATATATATATATATATATATATATATATATATATATATAAATTATATATATATATATATATATAAATTATATATATATATATATATATATATATATATATATATATATATATATATATATATATGTATATATAAATATATATATATATATATATATATATATATATATATATATATATATATATATATATATATATATATATATATATATATATATATATATATATATAAACATATATATGTTTAAATACTTCAACCTACAGTTTCACTACATCAGTATCCATTCTTCTTTTTCCAGGTGAAGGGGAAGACATTTTAAATGTATGGTTTAAATAACTATGTATGAAGTAAATTATAAAAAAAAAAAAACTAAAAAAATTATTTTAAAATTTGGCAAAACACTTATTTTCAAGCCGCTTGTGATAATGGAGAAATACTGATTTAAAAAATAAAAGTTTAGACTTATTTAGATAGTATCGTATTTTTTAATAAAAAACTATTATCTCCATTATGACATGCCTGTGACTCGAATTAAAAACCGAACAACAAAATCATAATACAAGAAACTTAAACATAATTTTAATTGTTTCGCAAAAATCCCGTATAAAAAGCTTTGAATTAACAAGTATTCTCAGAATGATCTCAAGAAAAAAAAAATTATGTTAACATATTTTACAGTTTCAATTACTATTTAAGACAATTTTTTTTGTGTGTTATTGTCATTATTATAATTTATGAGTCGTTAATGACGTGAATACTTTTTTTGTTTTTTATTTTTGTGAATAAACAAGGAGAAATTTATTTTTAAGACTTTTATTAAAATATACCCTCCCCCCTCCTACCTCATAAAATTTAACTAACTTCTCGCTGGTATATTTTATGCTGGCATAAAATATACTGTGAAATGTTATTTTTATGTATAAAAAATCATTAACTTCTGAAAATATCGCAAGTTGTTTCACTTTCCTAAACTTATGTAAGATAAAAATCTTACACAAGTTTTAATACTTTCAAGGATTTTAATAAGTTTTAATTAAAGCTTTAATAGTAAATTAGAATCTTAGTGCGCCTCTATATTTCTACAAAAATTTTAGTAATTGAATTTTCCAAAATATGATTTAAATCTTAATAATTACTTTTATACGAGTTCACAAACGCTAAAAAAAACGGCTCGTGAAATAATTTTTCTAACGATAGAATTATTATCTGCTGAGTTCGTTTATTATTGTTACTTTGATTTCCGCACAATAAATGTTATGTTTGTTAACGTTAGGTTCTTTAAACGGCTAAAATTAAATTAAATCTAAACCATATATCCTTGGCCTGATTGTTGTCACTTACGCAAAGAAAACATAAAAAAGCAATAGCCTGTTAACTTCCGGTGAAAAATTATTACAACAACAATTACAAAAAAATATTTATAATCGTTTAAAATTCTTACAATAATGTAATAATAAAAAACATAATAAAAAACATAATATCCCGTTGGGAAATCAGCTAGTGACAGCCATTTAGATCATTTGAACTTTTAAGCAATCTTCATGAACTGTTGAAATCGATTCTTTATTGCGGTGACCACAGAGTCTAGTGAGACCAGGTAAGTATCAACGACAAAACTTTTTCGGGCATTTCTTTTCTCTAATCTATTGCATGCTGGTCATAATGTTGTTTCTTTTTTCCAACTCTTTTTTGCCAATAAGCTGTTGCTATGTTGCATTGTAAAGCAAGGTCATTGGCTTCTTTTTCCAGATCATTCAAACTAGCATCATAGTTTTCTCTAATATTGTTAAGTTGAGATTCAAAGATTTTGATGTAGCTGGCAGCAACAACCATGTTTATAGGTACTTTTCTGTAAGTATTAGCCAGTGTTAACAGCTTACTCCAAAAAACTAGAATAACAGCAAATTTAAATTTCTAAAGAGATATTATAATTCCCTTAGCTACGCCAGGAGCTTGGCTGTACAATTTTTTATTTGCCCTGCACCGATTTTCTTCAAAGCTACTACCAATGCTGGAAGATTCTGTAAAATAGAATCAACAGCTACTATATTAGATGCCCATCTTGTGTCACTGAGACGTTTCAGACTTAAGGCAAAGTTTTCCACACTCTGACGTTGCTCTTCTTTGGGCAAAGTTAATCCAGGCAAACTGCTAGTAAAAAAATATGTATTTTATATTACCAAAAATTAATTTTGATTGTACATTAGAATTTAAAGAATCGACCAGCACCAGATTTAAATTGTGGGCACAGCAATGTGTGAACAAAGCAAATGGTGCAGTATCTTTAACTCTTTTCTGCAAGCCAGAAATTTCACCAGACATGGTTCTTGCACCATCATTTGACTGGCCATAGCACAGTTCTGCTGGAATACCCAGTTTATCTAAAAATGACTTTAGAAGATTAAAAAAAGGTTTCAGCATTTGCAGTGGGTAGCTCTAAGAACTAAACGAGCCTTTTAGCTGAATTTCCACCAATTGTTACATATCGCAAAGACATAGAAAATTGATCAACTCGACTTATATCTATGGTGGAATCTATAATAATTGCAAAATACTTTTCATTCTTCACTCCTGAACACATTTTTGCTTTAAATTCATATGACAAAGACTGTATAAGGTCATTCTAGATGTCTGGATCAAGATAGGAGGCAATTGCGGTCACTTTGATTGATCTAATACATTTTCATATTTAGCAAAAATCTTTATGAGTTCGAGAAAATTGCCTTCATTACAGAAGCCCCTACCACCAAATTCTCTGTGTCCACGAAACACTAATCCTTGTTTGCCATAAAACAATATCTATAAACAATATCCTTGTTAGCCAAAAAACAATATCTAAAAAATCATCTATGGTAATTTTTAAAATCCTCCTGTTTTTTTCTATCTGTCTTCTCTCTAAGGCCACAAGCTTTGCCAAAACCCTTTGACATTAGATTTGCCAAAACCCTTTGACATTAGATTTCTGCTCTATTACTGCTCAAAGCCAAACAAAGCAAAACAAAAACTTGTGGGGAATCAACCAGTGACAATTATATTTCTCTTCTCGCAAACTTTTTAACAGTTTTTTTTTGTACCACGCTGCGCTAAAATGCTTTCCCTTGTCATCTTTTTTGAAATCATTAAGTGTATCATAGAGTCCTGGCTGGCACGGCCCGTATGGTAGTAAGTCTCGAATAACTTTAGGTGTGATGCTTTCATTACAAAATAAGTGAGAGTCTGTTGCGTAGTTTACTTAGAAATTAATAATGGGTTTCACCAAAGTAGAATGATCTGTGACTGAGTTGCTACTATCATCATCATCACGCTGTGGTGGTATATCCACACGATCTGTGAATGAGTTACTATTATCAGCCTTACGTTGTGGTGGTATATCAGCACGATTTGTGACTGCTGTGAGTCCTGCAACTGAGTCACAACCATTACGTTATGGTATATCTGAGTCACTATCATCAGCATCACGTACAACAAAATCTTTTGGTGTTTCTATACGTTTTAAATACATTTGAACACTGCCATAGTTTTTTGGAAATTTTTTCCAACATTCGACGTCTTTTAGTTTTTTATATTTGTTTCCAGACAGTTTTTTTTTTTTTTTTTTTTTAAATTTGACATGTTTAAGATTTAATATCGATAATCAATAATAGAAGGTAAATTTGCTGTAATTAAATTTGATAAAATTTATTGTAGAGATTTTAAAAAGTAAATAAGCGTAAATATTTTTTTTCAAGCAATTTTTTTTTCAAACGCTATTTTAATTATCTTAACTAATGGCTACTCAATGTAACTAAGGCCTGGTACACGTTTTTCCGAACAAAAAGATAAGTTTTTTCAATTACAATATATGTAAGTTTTTTTATTAAAAAGTATGACATTTTGGTGAAGATTATTTTAATCACTATTATAATCTGGTAAAGGTAATGCGACTATAACAAATCGTCTAGCGTAGTTTTATTTAGAAAAGATGCAATTTTCAAAATAAAGTACCTTGGGACTTGGCTATAAATAAGTCTATGAATTTGATTTTTTCATAAAAGTACGTATTGGTGTTTGTTTTCAATGAATTTTACTTGATATTTCTAATCAGACATTATTTGGGAAAATTATCCACGAAAAACCATTTTTTTAAAGAAAATTGAAGTTACTATTTTCAATACCACACCTAAATGAGTATGTTTAACAATAATTTCACGTTAGATTTAGACAACCTATGGTAGTGTTAATTTTTCTACCAAAGTCGGTTTTGCATAAATATTCATAACTTTTAACCCCATTTAAAAAACTGTTTTCGGTATTTAGTATCTTCTTTTGAAATACATAGGACTTATTCAGCTGTCTTGAAATCATAAATTATTCCATTCAGAAAGCGTAAACAATTAAAAAACAGAGGCGGTAAACTTTACAAAAAAATTACTTTTATTTCGAATTCTTTGTTTGCATAAATTAAATACCAATAGTTAAAAAGATTTTCGGTTTGCCACTAATAACCAATTGGATTTGTTTTAAATTATCGACCTTTTTTTTTTTTACGAGTTTGTTTGTTCTATGCCTTAGTTACATTAAGTAACTTTACAATAGATTTTGAAAACTACAATATAATGTCAAATCGTCCCTAAGCTAACAACGTCGCGTAAGTCATTTTTACCTACTTTACGTAAGGTGAAAAAAAAAAAACTAACGACTTATGTGGCGTTTCATCGAGGCCAACCGACTTTAAACTGTTATTTCATTGAAATTAAACTGTAATTTCATCGCCTTTTTTGTTTATAATTGCCTTATTGATTTAACCCTCTTTACAGTGTCGCTAATACTTTCTTTTTGACTTTTACTAAATTAGAACACAACATATTAATAAACTTATAAGATTTACTGGTAAAATTATAAATTTAGACAACAAGTTTGGTTATCAAATATATCTACAGAATGGACAAAGAAAAAACAAAAATAATTTGATGTTAATATGCTAAACACAGAAAAATAATATATCAATAACATTGTTATAGTAATTAGCAGTTATAAAATAACACTAACAAAAAAATAATACTAATTGCATATAAATATTAAGTACTGATTTACCTTGATTTACACTGATTTTTCTGCAAATGTGATTGAGAGTAACCAAAAACGAGTGGTATATTCCAGTGGTATTATAACTGGAAAATACCACTTGAACATCTAAGTATAGATTTTTAGAACAAAAAAATTTCAAAAAAAATTAAAACCACAAGATTTTTTGGCATTTTTTGGTACGTGTAAAAATCGTTATTTTTTTGTTATAGTCATGTTATTCCTAACACATTTGCACAATTTAGAATCACTTCACAATCATTAAAATTTCAAAAATATTAGCAGAATATAATTATGTACAAGAATAAAAAAAAAAAAATAGTCTCTAATTGTGCAATTTCACATTCAAATCATTATTTTTGTAACTAACAGACG